TAAGTTCAAGTATCCATGTTGTTAAGGTTTAATCAAAGTTGTTAATTCACCGACTTCTAAAGTTCATGAAATCAATTCGAAGGAACAGTTGCACCAGTTGACATAAAATTGATTGGAAAAATCATGCTTATCTTTTAAACTAATGGATGTTTCTCTTATTTTTATTAGATATTTATTAAAAAATTTAATAATTAAAAGTTTAAACTTTTATATTAAAGTCTTTAAATTAAAATTTTAAAGATGTGAAATATAGAGAGAAGATGACTATTTCTTAAATGGTTTATTATGAGACATAATACAGAAGTTAAAGTAAGGGGTTTATTTTGCAATTTGTAAAATTATACCTTCAACAAAAAGGTTCTGATTTTTCTTTGCTTTGATTTGGTCAAGGTAAACGATTGATTGGAGTGATAATAAATAAGACAAACCGTCCTTTAATAATTTGCGAACTTGACAGCCAAGCAATCTGAGTTGCAATCGTACTCTCATGGAGAAAATGAATATGGATGGAAATTTCGTTAATCCAATTTTAACATGTTAGCATCTAAGAATGCATTTGTTCGTCCATAGTTTTCAACAATTTCGCTGTTTAATAAATTAAAATTAATATTAGGCCAAATATATATTTACTACATCTTTCATAATAATAATAATAATAATAATAATAATATATAATAACTGTTTTTGCATAAATAGAGACTTTCATAATAAAGTGATTAATTAAAGTCAAGATGATAACGATAAAATTAAAATAGAAAAAAAAATTTTGTTTACAAAGAAGGACAATTAATCTAGTCTAGAGCAAATTTCAAGTAAAAAAATGGGAAATTAAGAGGGAGCAAGTGTTTTAAAGTTCTATCTTTTTGATTTTATGGTATGATGCTTAACTTGAGATTATTTTCTCCCAAAGTGATTTCAATGACATACTCTTATATTAATTTAGTATATTAAAAAATTGATTTTCTTAATTATTAGTTACAAAACTTAAACTCGAAACTTAATTCAAAAGGCATTACTTATATATATATTTAATCTTGTTTTAAAATTTAATTTTTGCTTCTAAATGGGACTACACAAAATTATAACTTCAAAAATAAAATTTTTAGTTCTAAGTCCATAAAAGTATTATATAATTTAAAATGTACAATTAAAATAATTAGATAAAAAGCAGACAAAATACACTTAATAAATAAACATGTAAGAAAACCTGTTTAAGATATTTAAGTAATTTCAAAAACATTTTTACATTTTTCTCTTGCAAATTTACCCAAAAAATAAAAAAACACTTTTCTGTTTATAAAATTTACTCCTATAACATGATTAAATAATTTCTAAATATTATTCTCGAGTCATGTATTCAAATATATATATCCACGTCATCACCCATCGGCCTATAAATAACGGTATCTCTTTCAATCTGACAAAATATTATCCAGAAGCAAAAAAATGAAGATTATTCCTACAAAACACTTGTTCCATTTTTCCTGCCTTCTCGTTTTCTGCAGGTTGCTCTTGGCGGAGGTAGCATTGGCTCAAAACACAACGGCTACCGCCACCATTCCAGTAAACGTGGGTGTGGTTCTTGACATGGATATGTGGGTTGGGAAGCTGGGGCTGAGTTGCATCAACATGGCCCTGCAAGACTTTTATTCCTACCACGGTAACTACGCAACCAGATTGGTTTTAAACATAAGGGATTCCAGGGGAGATGTTGTTGGGGCGGCTGCTGCCGGTACGGCTTCTTTCTTCTCTTTGTTCCTCTTTTTCCTCTCTGCATTCATTTTTAGTGAATATATATTCCTTCTCACATAATACAATACATATGAATTAGATTTTTTGGAAATAATTTCAGTTTAAGATCTCATTCTTTTTAATGGGTTTGAACATAAACTTAAAATTTTTTGGTACAAAATAATGATATTTTTTGAGTTTGACAATATATAATGTAATTTCTTCCATTTTTTGAGTTCCAAGCAGTAAAAAACTGTTAGTTCAGATTGAAACTTGCCATCATGCCGTTTACTCATCAGGAAAATCAGAACTGAATAGCAAAGACTACCGTCCGAACCGATTTTGCTAGCTGGTTTTTAGGCTAATTAAAGCTTTCAGACCTCAATCTTACAGGGATGTTAATTTTAAGCCCTTAAACTAAAAATGCCTCACTTAAGCCCCTAAACTACACAAACTTGTCAAATTGACCCCTTACTAACGGTAGAACGTTAATTCGCCGTTTATTTCTCGCCTACTGTTTTTTGTTTAAAGAAAAATGAATAAATGCAAAATTGCCCTTACACTTCTGAAATTTTTTTAAAAAGAAGTCCATAAATTTTACAAAAGTTTATCAATCTAATCTAAAATAAATTACACATTAAAATCCTAAAAAACTAAAATACCCATTTAGTGGATCGATTACAAATAAAAAAAGAAATCAAGAATAAGACATCAAAAACCTTATTTTTTCTTAATTTGCTATCAAACCTTAGGAAGTCAAAAGGAAAAAAAAATTAATACAAAAAACCCTTTATTATTTTCACCAATAGCCTACTTGTCCTCTTGTCTCTCTATTGACGACATCCCAAACAACCCAAAAGAATCTCGTTGAAAATTGAATAGAAAAAAAAAAAAAACACTAATCAAAATCAATGCAATTTAACTTTTTATGTTTTCCCCCCACTACTAACCTAAGATTTAAAAAAGGAAAATTATATCAACCAAACCCAATATGGAGGAAGGATATATCTGTTTAAATTGATAGAAATCCAGATCAATGTATCCACAATTCCTAAAAACAATATATAGAGATTATCAACTTCTCAAATCAATACCCTTTATGGGTCCCAAATGATAAATGGCTTGATTTGAATCAAAATTCAAACCCTAGCAAATCCAATCCAAACAATTTGAACAAGCTTTTCACGGATAAGTGATTGGTTTTTTTGGTTTTCAATGTTTAATTTATTTTAGATTGAATGAGTTATATTCTCTAAAATTCAAGAAAATGTTTTGATGGAAATGTGAAAAGTTCAGAGTCAATTTTGCAATTATTCCATTTTGCTTCCAACAAAAGCCCACGTGGCACAAAATAATCGGTGAATGAACGTTTTACCGTTAGTAAGGGCTAATCTGACAAGTTTATGTAGTTTAGGGGCTCAATTTAAGGTCTTAAAACCAACATTCGTATAAGTTTGAGGGAGCCATGGTTTCTATTTTCCTTATGAAAGCTAAACAATGCATTCAAATAAGAAGTCTTGACTTTTCAAAAGTCAAAAAAACCTAAAAGCGGCAAAATCTTCAATCAAACCTCGACAGGATAATGGCTGTAAAGAGAATATTTGACTATTCGATTTTTTTTTAATAAAAAATTTTGAACTAAACTACTTAGCGATCACGAGGAAGAAAAAAAAAAGTATTTTGATATTCTATAAAAAATACTGATGAAGTTATTAATATTATGTATTCATATAATCATTTATTTTATTAATAATTATTAAATATTATCTAACTGTAATAATTAACAGATCATACTGTTCCTTTTTTTTTAATATCAAATAATGAGTAAGGAATAAATTTTTAATATAAATACTTATTAAAATATCCCTAAAAAGTTTTTACCATGTGAAAACTAACCCAAAATTTTGTTTTGATGAACAGGTCTGGACTTGATTAAGAATGTCGAAGTGCAAGCAATCATAGGAACAGAAAATTCAATGCAAGCAAACTTCGTAATAGATCTTGGAAACAAAGCACAAGTACCCATCATATCCT